ATACGAAATTCGATCTTTCCCCATATCCTTATTCATCTTCACCTTCTTCAAAATAGTCAAATTTCTCTTTGAGAAAATGGGTAAAAACTGACCTGCATTCTGCTCTGAAATTAAGGACTCTTATACGTAAATCTAGAATATAAATTAACGTTATTGAACCGGAGTTGATTAAAATTTTTTTTTTTAGTATTAATATTATTAAATAATTTTTCTTAATTCACTTACTTAATAATTTAGATTCTAAGGTTTTAGGTTCTTTAGGTTTTTGCTGTACTTGGTATTATTCAGACCGCAATGAGAGAATCAGTATTGAATCACTATTGACCGAGAACTCACCGTTATCTGGTGTGAACTGATGTAGAACATCTGTAGAACTCAAAGTGAAACTGAAGCAATTTTCCATTTGTTGTCATAGTTGTTAAAAATCCATTATATTACCTAAATAAAGAAGCAGCTCAAATGGAGTCGCTATGGAAAACCAATTTCAATTATATTTGCCTCGCTAAAGTTTCTATTACTATGTTTATCTAGTCGTCATTGTGAATAACATTCTTAGGAAAAACAGAAGTTCTTAAACAAATAATAAAAAATATTAATAAGGTTCATGTTACCACTTTTTAATCTCTATTTTTTTAAGATTCATTTAATTGTTTTCTTAATTCTTTAATTTTTTCCTCTGATCTTTCATGTCCCTGATAAGCTGATAATTCAATTGGTGGTAAAATGATGGAGACTATAAATTTTTTGTGGTTATCTTGTAGTTCGTTTTCAATTGATAAATAGTTTATATTCTAAAAATGTTTTTGTTTCATTTACATGAGTCTCAATTACATTAAATGTGGGTTTTCCAATTTTTTAGATAATTATTTATAATTTCTGTTGGATTTTAAAACGTTACATTATTAATAACTTAATTATTTTCAAAAGGATCCTTTTCCTTCTAGAAGAGTCTCGTTTACAGTATTTTTTCCAGTAATAAATATTACACCATATTTAATTATACCTATCCTTGTAGGTTTGCGTATAATATATTTGCATTTACTCTATTTAGAATTCAATATAATAGATAAACAAGAATCGTTAGTGTCCATTTTAGAATACGTGTTACGCATTTCTTGCTTAATTTTCGTTATATTAGTATAATCATTTTGAAATTTAACAATTTGTTTGCTTATATCTACGTCGGTAAGTCGAAATAGCGATGTCCGTCTGTCTGTCTGTCTGTCCGTCTGTCTGTTGTAATCACGCTATCTTTCGAATGAATTGAGATAGGTGGCTAAAATTTTGCACACATGTTTATTTTTCCAGTAGGCAGGTTAAGTTCGTAAATGGGCCATGTAGGTCCACGTTTTCATATAGCCCCCATATAACGGTACCTCCCGATATTCGTATATTTGATGATTTTAGCGACATTATTCACGGGAATTGTTTCAAATTTGGTATTTGAAGTTCAAAATGGATACTACACCCTAAGGCGGAAAATTATCCGTGCAGGTCCACGTCTTCGTATAGCCCCCATATGACGGTACCTCCCTATATTCAGTATTTTGATGATTTTAGCGACATTATTCACCGGAATTGTTTTAAAATTGGTATTTGAAGTTCGTTATGGGAACTACAGTCTGTGACAGAAAATTGTCTGTGCGGGTCCAGGTCTTCGTATAGCCCCCATATAACGGTACCTCCCTATATTCGGTATTTTGATGATTTTAGCTACATTGTTCACCGTTTATTTCAAGTTTCGAATTTGAATATGGTAATGGCTTATGACCAACAATGCCTATGTATGTCCACGTCGTATATACCCCAAAATAACGGCTATATTCGGTATTTTTAAAATTTTAACAGAATTTTTTAAGGATTTTATTTTTTGAAAATTTCCAAATTCGTTGCAAATGGTGGAGGGTATTAAAAGTTCGGTCCGGCCGAACTTACTACTTTTTAACTTGTTTATTTTGTTTTTTTATAACGAAGTTTGTTTCTTTTTTTAATATCATTTCATATATTATGTCACCGTCCTCATATGTTCTTAACTTTCGTCTCTTATTTTCTATTTGCAACATTTTACTCTGGATCTTTTTTAATTTTTCTGGATCACTGCTGTTGTTCACTTTGTTAAATAAAACATCTACCGGTTGTAAATGTATTACCGAATGTGTCGTTATGTTATATTGTTGAGCTGCTTTATATATTGCTTCAATTGGATCAATAATATGATATTCTTCTTTTATGCATCTTGACATTTCTATTAAAGTCGAATCTTACCTCTCTATTTGACCATTTGTCTTGCTATGTCCTAGTGAACAATATTTAAAATCGATTTGCATTAGTGATTTAAGTTGCAATGAAGTAAAACTTGCTTCATTGTATAGCATTAGAATTTTAGCATTGGGAAATACCTGTAAAGTTTATATTATTATACAATCTATAGGGGTATATTAACTTTGTCATACCGTTTGTAACTCGTCGAAATATTCGTAATAGAGCCTACAAAGTATATCTATTCTGCATCAACGTAAAATTCTAAGACGAACTAGCGATGTCCGTCTGCCCGTCCATTGTAATTACGCAATCTTTCGAACGAATTGAGATAGAAGGCTAACATTTTGCATACATGCATAGTTTACCAGTAGGTCTACGTTTTCGTGTAGCCCCCATATAACGGTACCTCCCGATATTCGGTATTTTCATGAATTTAGCGACATAATTTACCAGAATTAAAATTAAAAAAATATATATATATTTGAATATTTCATATTTGAAGTTCGTAATTGGTACTACAGACTATGACAAAAATTTTTATATGCAGGTCCACATCTTCGTATAGGCCACATATTATGGTACCTCCCGATAGTCGGTATTTTGACGATTATTCACAGGAATCGTTTCAAATTTCGTACTGAAAAGTCTTAATTGGTAATACAACTTACGTCTTCATATAGCCACCATATGACAATACCTCCCGATACTCCGTATTTTCATGATTTTTGCGACGCTATTTACGGTAGTTGTAACAAATTTCGTATTTGAAATTAGTAATGGGCACTACAGCCTATAACAAAAAAATCGTATGCAGACCCACGTTTTCGTATATAATAACGGTTTTCATTTAAGTGGCAGTTTTCGGATTTTTTTTTTGAAATTTTTCAATTTACTTCGGAATGGTGGAGGGTATGAAAATTCGGCCCGGCCGAACATAGCTGCTTTTTACTTGTTTTCTCTTCTATTCGCGTTTTGTCATTTATTTGTTTAATTGTTAGAAATTTTGAATATGCATTTAACCATGTTCAAAGGTAGTTTAGTTTCCGCATGGAAATATTTAAGTGTAAGTTTTCTCCTTCGCTTTATTGGACTCATAACAGGATTCCTTATGTACCTGTTTATGTTACAAATTTCACAATTCCTAGCATATTCTTTGATTTTTTTATTAATTTTGGCCAGTATTATTTATCCTTTAATTTACTGTAGTTTCCTAAAAGCTTCTATGTGCTCTAGTATGCTCCTTTTCTATAAAATTCTTCTTCACTATCTATTGCGTCTATTGTCTTTATTGTCTAAAATGTATATTCTTTGATGTAAATGCTTTTCTCAGCATATCCTTTATATCGTAATTTGTTTCTGGCGTACAATGTAAAGTCGTTACTACCATTATTTGCTTTAGTGTTCCATCCGCTATTAACCACTTTATTGCAAATACCCAAATTGGTGAATTATATGGATTTTTACTTGGCCCAATTATTCCTTCATATAACATTCTATTCATTTCTTCATTAATAAAGTTAGCCGCTGATAAAGAGTAAGGAAATGGATTATTTGTTTTGCTCATTTCTTGAAATGTTATTTTTAACGGTCTTTTATTTATCCCACTGTCTCTTTCATATCTGCCTTCATATAAATACTATTGTATTTCTCGCAATAAAGAAATGCGGTGGAATTCAGAGACAAATCTTATGTGTCCGAACTGTTTCTCTTGCATTTTGATTCTATATATTTTAACATTTTTTTTCTAATCAATATATTCTTTGCATTGAATTCTTCTTAACAATTTTTAATGGCCTAATTATTTTTGGAGACCTTATTTTTTACTTTATGTATGGTTTGATATACTTATTGTGGATACCTTTTACCTTTAAAAATGTTATTAGTGTCTTGTTTTTATTTTTTTAGTTTAAATTTTATTAAATATTTTTTCTTAATTCTCTAACTAATAACGTAGGTTCTAAGCCGACACTTGTTCTTAGTATTATTCAGACAGAAATGAGAGAATCTGTTTTGCACTGCTTTTGGCCGAGAACTAAACGTTATCTGGTGCGAACTGCTGTAGAACTTCCGTGGAACTGAAGAAAATCCATTAAGTTACTTGAACAATGAAATGGTTCAACAACTCAAATGGAGTCATTAAGGAAAACCATGTTTTCAATTATATTTGCCGCCCTTAAATTTCTATTGCTATGTTTGTTTAGTCATCATTATGAAACACATACTTGTTTTTGGAGACCTTATTTTTTACTTTGTGTTTGGATACCTTATACCTTTAAAAATGTTTTTAGTGTCTTGTTTTTATTTTTTTAGTTTAAATTTTATTAAATAAATTTTCTTAATTCACTAATCAGTTAACGTAAAATATCATACAGTAGGGGGCCGCGTTAGTCGTTGTTGTTCCGAAACATTACACAACATAGACAGATTTCTGCTACAGGAATTATGTGAGTATCAAGTGCTAAACTTAAAAAGAATTAAATTGGTTTACCGAATATTGAAAGTTGTCGTATTTTAGAAATTATACGAAAAATTGATCGAGCTCGACATGCCTACTGATAAAACACACATATATTGAAAATATTTACATATATCACAATTCCTTCGACATATAGCGTGATTAGAACAGAACGTCTGACAGATATTATGGTGGAGGATATTAAAAAACATTTTTTCAAGTCCTGGCAGAGTTTAAACGAATATCCATAGACGCATAAGAATGTCGATTGAAAAAAGAGTACCTTCTTCCAGTTACATGGCACGAAAAACAGCAGGTAAGATACAATAATGAATACCACCATAAATATGTACAGGGTATATTCTTGGAAACATGTACTGTTTATGATGTGTACTGTAAATATTTCGCGGAGATTCATTTTCTAAAAATATATTTATTATTAAACTATTTGTTGTATTTATAAAGAATTATTTACCGTCTATAGAGTCCTTTTTATTCCGAATAATAAATGTTTTAAGAAGTAACTAATCCAGTGTGGACCACTACATTCAATTAGAATAAAATTATTTAATATATACGATGGGAACTATCACAGCTCAACTACAACTAGGTAAAGAAAACACTTTTAAATTAAAGCATATGAATAATTATTAACTAATCTAATTTTATATTGCGAGTCTTAATTCCAAATTATGATCAATTCCGTGGAAACATTTGCCTATATATAAAGGCTGGGGTATCCGACGAATATTTAGAGGTGATACAGGCGGAATGGTAGATTTAATATACCCTTTATTTTCATGGTGGTGGGTATAAATAGTATAACACCAAATATAACTCTTGGTTTAATGGTGAATTATATTCCTTTCTTAATCACAGGAAACATTTAAATTAATTAAGTTAAGTGATTTGGGGTGGCAACATAGACGTCTGTGCTTTTACTTTCGATACTCAAAAACAAGTGATCACAGAGCATCCCTTGTCTATTTCTAATATAGACAAATAATCTCAGAGCTTCCACATGATTGCTAAAGTTCCCTTGTGTCTTCGTAATACATCTACAACTAATTCCAGTGAGAGCAAATATGGTAAACCAACTTTTTGGCCCCCACTCAAGATTTTCATGTTCAACCATCGACTTATAACGATAAACATTGTTGTCTAAAATGGTCGATTTAAATGGTCGGTGTGAGTTTGTGTAACATTAATGGAAGGAACAAAAATGTACAAAAATAGACTTTTGTTAAGGAACATACTCGTAGATGTACACAATAATTGAATTGTGTAAACTTGGTAGGCTTACAATTTCTTGCAATCCGCCAAGATTTTTTTGAATGTAAAGTAAGCAATAAATGTTACTTCAGCCAATAACCCATGCAATGATTTGAGTTATTGGGTTAAAATAAACTATGAAAATATTATAAGTCACTTATGTGCTGACTGGGAATGCAGCTATTAAATTAAAAAACAGTAAAAAATGTTTTTAAAAACCGTGTTCTTTTGTAAATTGTTTCCCACTTTGAACGGGGAAAGTTTAAGGAACCCTCATTAACGACGTATGATAATATTTACTGCCTAGTGGTTGGTGATGCGATGATGTTTTTTTGGACGTTATGTAGTTGCGAAATTTGACTGACATATATGGCTACTCCAATTTCAACGCAAAGACCTGGGTTGCTGATGGAATTACGATGAATGGTAATCGATTTCATTGATTGTGCAAAGCGTTATTTTCAATGGTTTTCAGCTGCTGGTGTAAAATGACGAGAACAGCAGTATGCATTTGTGCTGTTTAATATTGTGTTAAGCAGGATACTTTCAGATATGATGTTTTTATGATTGTTTTGTTTTCGTTATGATCGAGTACTGTAACGATGTTGTCTTTGAAGATTCAATCTGGCGCAATCCAGCTCCTTGCTCCTCCAAGAATGTCATTCTTGTACCACAAAGTGTTACGGTTATGTAATTTTCATAAATGTTTGGTGATGGATGGTTGATTCCAAGTCACAAGTTTTAAATGTCTTGAAATAAAAAAAAAAATCCGACACGCATAATTTTCGCTTGTTTATCGCAAATAAATGTCTTTCCCTTTGATAATTCAATATCTCTATCTCGATTTGGCAAGTAGTAGTTGGGAGCCCTACTGGTTACTCTCCCATTAAATCATATTAAGGATGAGTTTTGCACTCGGCCCGTCGAATGGTAACAACATCGGTCATTTTGGGTCGTATGTTAAGGTTGGCTTTTTTAACCTAACACCGACTTTAAGCATACCTCTATCATCCAGAAACAGAGTTAAACTGTGTTTGATATTCATTTCCGTGAAGAAATGTATGCTTATAAAACCTCATTAAACACCTGATCTGGTCTCATCATTCTGGATATAAATCTGCAGGATAATCATCAGTGGTCATATTATTATTCATTATGAATAATTATTCACATGTGAATAATTCAGTGATCTTATGCTCTGTCGCATACGACAACGTGTAGGATAATAAAGGTCATAACCCACACACACAGATTGCCAAGACAACTTGAATGAATATACAAGCAGCCATTTAATATGCCCTTTTAAATCTAGTAATAGACCAGAATAATTGTGTGGCTGCGATTAGGTAAAGTTAGATTAGTTTTTGTAGCTCTTAAGAAAAATATTATTACAATAAAATCATAATTGATTCGATAGCCAAAATATTTGTGTGTGTTTCTCTTCTCTTTTACATTTCGTCTTTCGAGTCGGATATGAACCAGCGACCAGTACAATGTAATCTCTGAATATGATCAATAAATAGTACGACATTCATTAAATAGTACACTCATTCACATCGCTTTTAATTCTAAATCCTTGGTTTATGAATCGTCGGAGTTGAGATCTAATTCTCTATATTCTGGTGCTAGCATTCCTTGACTGGGAAGTTCCTTCATATTGCTGATATCTACAATATCTATACAACTTTTCAATAGCTCAATGCAATAAATCTCGGCAGTTTAACAGCAACAATATTCCAAACCGATCCCCTCGAATCACCATTGAGTGGTTATCACCATGACAACTTTCAAGTTGCATCGAACACAACTCTAAGCTTTGTGGTGTTGCTATCTGAGCGTAGAATACAATGGTGTATGGTGTAGTAATGATTTCTTCGCACATCTCTTGATTGCACTTTCATCATGTGACCCAGGTATGAGCACCTGCTGCTTCACTGGAGGCTGCAATATTTTAAAATTTGAATGTCTTTTTTCTTGCTCATTTGATAAAATTGGTATCTGCTAGCTTTATGTTATCTGCTAGGGCCATAATTTGATGTCGATGCAGTGCAATTTGATAATCGCAACACTAGTCGACTATTCTCATTTACTGTTTTATTTTTATTAAAAAACTACGCACGTTTTAGCTCCTGATCCTGCCTTTGTCCCTTTCACTAGCAATCTATTCTTGGACATCCGAATCTCTAGTGATAGAATCAGCGGAAAGTAAAACATCGTCGCAAATAACATGTCGGTTTTGCTCATTTTATAAAATTAGTATTTGCTAGCTTTATATTATCTGCAAGGAACTATTATATGACGTTGATACCAGTGCTTAGTTGGATTGAAAAATGTTTGGTAATACAATAGCTTCTGTGCGCGTTTGCACGATGCTGATTAGCGAATGTATCTCAAAGTTTATCCTGTGGTTTACGGTTCATAATCTTCCACCACCAGCTTCGACACAGAGAGACCCTTGAGACCCTTCCAACACTTTTGATATAGAGAGGCATTTGATTGTGCTGATACCTAGTTTTGTGTAAGAAAACAAAATTGTATTGTGTTTTCTATGGTACTTTCACGTCCCAGTAGGCTTATTACTAATACAATTCACTCACATCCTGTTTCTTGCAATACATTTCTGTCTTTGCCAGGAACTGCTTGCAATAATTTGGGGGGTTATCACCTTTCGAATCGTCAGGGCGCTGTGGAATCAAAAGTTGCCCTTCGAACACTTGCAATAATTCAAATCGCTTGAAGCTCCTTGGAATCTACAATCGGCAACTCATACAACACATGAGAGTTGGGTCCATTCTCTTTATTAAGATATGGATTAAAATATTATCTTATTCATTTGGCTTTACTTCACGGCACTCCAGTACCATTAACCATTCATGAAGACTGTCATTAAAGACATGAACTGATCTGCCTTCACCTAATATGTTGAACAGTTTCAACGTCCCCTCAAGTATAGTTCATACTTAAGCTCTATGTATTTTTATTTCTTTTGGAGATTAGCTTGAGCTAAGTTCCCGCCTGATATCCACTGAAATGACGTACGATCGACCTATGTTTGACTCGATATATTTTCCTCTTATTTTATCGTTTCTTACTCGACAAAAATTTTATACCCTTAAACGTTGGTAGATGAACACCACATTTGACCACAATTTTGCAATTGTAGATACTGTTTGACAGGGCGCAGCTTGACCTGTTCTGTCTCTATTAATGTAGAACTCCATTGTTCTTCTTTCCTCCAGACTGCGTCTATCTCCTTCAACTTCTTTCTCTAGGAATCCATTATTTTTCTATCCAGCGGAGCCTTTTTCATATTCGCTATCGCCTTCATCGACTCGCCGTTTGCTGCTTGCTGTAATAGGTTCCTGATTTGTACTGAACTAATTTTCTTCGTTTCACAAATGTGTGTTTCAAACTCCTTGGTAATTGGAAATTTTCCAGTATAATACCTAAATCAAATTCCTTGTCAGGAACACGTCGGGGTCACCACAAAATTATTAGTAACTGTTAGAGCAAAGTAGATAATCAAATCACTTGGATCATCATTATTAAAATAAGTATTAAATGTAAAGTATATAATAAATGTTAATTCAGACAATAAACTATGCAATTGTGAAACCAATGCAGTTGTTTTTATACCCTCCACCATACTATGGAGGGTATATTAACTTTGTCATTCCGTTTGTAACTCCTCGAAATACTCATATCAGACCCAACAAAGTATATATATTCTTGATCAGCGTAAAATTCTAAGCCGATTTATGTCCGTCTATGTCCGATTATGTCCATCTGCCTGTCTGTCCGTCTGTCTGTCTGTCCGTCTGTCTGTCTGTTGTAATCACGCTATCTTTCGAATGAATTGAGATAGGTGGCTAAAATTTTGCACACATGTTTATTTTTCCAGTAGGCAGGTTAAGTTCGTAAATGGGCCATGTAGGTCCACGTTTTCATATAGCCCCCATATAACGGTACCTCCCTATATTCGGTATTTTGATGATTTTAGCGACATTATTCACGGGAATTGTTTTAAATTTGGTATTTGAAGTTCAAAATGGATACTACACCCTAAGACGGAAAATTATCCGTGCAGGTCCACGTCTTGGTATAGCCCCCATATAACGGTACCTCCCGATATTCGGTATTTTAATGATTTTAGCGACATTATTCACGGGAATTGTTTCAAATTTGGTATTTGAAGTTCAAAATGGATACTACACCCTAAGACGGAAAATTATCCGTGCAGGTCCACGTCTTCGT